AGAGAGATAAATGTTAAAACAGAAAAGTGATGTTGATCTGCTCACCATTCAGTTCTCGCTCCAGATTGCATGCCGCGTGAACTGATTCTCGGCAAATCTCGTGTTCAATCGTGGTCTGGAATGACAATGATGCAGTGGAGCATGCAGTCATCAAATGTTTACTTTTGTGTCCAGCACAAGTTTGGATTCTTGTATATTTGCTATCTGCTTCTCCATGGCTAAAATTTCATTTTCGTCCAAGTCCATTTTTTCATCCACTATAAGTGAATTATTTGGATAGATAAAGAGCGAACATGCTCAAGGAGAACCTTCAAAATTGTTCACTGAGTTTGCGCTGTCGGTCGGAACCTTATCGAATGAGGATTTCTGAAAAAACTGTTTCAGTCAAGTACTACTAGCATTCATGTTCGTCTAGAGCTTTATCTACCAAGGAACTCATGCTGGGTGAAATTAATCCCAGCTGAGCTTTCTGCTGGCGTCCAAAAGAAAAAGATAGTCCGTCTTGTTTACTGCATGCAGGATTGCTGCGGTGTTCTACATTGGCAGTGTAGTTGGTCTGCGGTGCGCTAATCGCTTGTTCCTCAGCATCTTGAGACCTATAAAATCCCCCTTCTCTGAGGCTTAAGTGCAGAAAGAGCTCAAATACCACTTCTTTTTCACCTTACGAGCAAACAAATACTCCCCATAGCAATCAAAACCTACTTCTTCCCTGCAATCGCTTCACATACTTCTGCTTCAACACAATCTTCTAACTTGCTCCGTTTCGAGCAATTTTCAACCTCTTGAGGTTCTTTGAGACGGCGCTTTTCGGATCTAAACTGTTAAGCTCAGTCAAAATTTTGTGTTGTTGAACGCAGATTCACGATCACCTTCGTTTATGATGGCTTTCCCTTCGTTCAGCCTTATGGCGCCTCTTTTCTTTGCGATCAAAATGCTCACCATCAAGTCGCTCTCGCCACATTTCAAGAAGACGCTCAAGAGATGGCGCATGTGCCAATAGAATAGCCGTGCGACCGTCGTTGTCTATAGGTATATCCTAAACATCCATAGCTGATTTGTAACACTGACATCAACGTTGAATTTCAAAATAAATTTCCGCGTACAAAATATTATTAGGCAGGCTTATGGCCGAACTCCACCCGTCTGTACCCGCTGCAACCGCCTCTACCCGCCAGTACCCATCACCCTCACGAAGCC